GAACGGGTTATCTTTCTCTCCAGGAATACCAGAGAGCAAAAGGGAAAAATAATTAGAGGGGGAGAAGGGGTTACGACAGATTTTCGGTTCCGTTTTGATGGTTAAATGATGATAGATCAGCCCAGTAGAACCATGAATATTAGCCGAAAATAATAAAACCTCTACAAAACGACACGCTCGTCTTACAGTCACTCTTCGTGAAAAAAAGAAAAAAAAACAATTAAGTAGATAAATATTATTAAATTCATCGCACCGGAAAAAACACATTAAATCTAGAGTACAGACTCTTGAAAACATTGACAACAAAAAATACTTTTGATTCCATCGGATTTTTGCTCGAATCATAACGAAATCCGCTTAAATTAAGAGGCTTGGTTCTTGATTTAAGCTAGATTCTGATTGAATCAAGAGTACTTTCTCTTGTCGATGTTATTAAGAGTCTGGACTCTAGATCCAATGTGTTTTTTTCCCAGTTTGATATATAATAAAGAAATTTTGGCATCAACCACCGTATTAGCCGGTCCACACGTTCTAACAAAGAAACGTATAAAACTACCAAGAATTCATTCTAATTATTTGAAATTGGCGGAACGCCGGTTTGAAATCTCTGTCTACGGCGCTTAGTTTACGGATGCTCATTTGTTACGGCACGTCCGGAAGCGAAGCGGCCGAACGGAGAGAAAAGGCGAAACCGCAGGAAATCGCGGGCGCAACATCAAGTAACGTCCATTACCAAATTGTGGACAATTTCGAGCCGAGCAGTCGCCAACACGAGGACGGGGGGAAGCGAGGGGGGGGGGGGGGGGGAGGTCAAACGCCCCAAACCACGGCTGGTGTTTATGGGAGTCGGGGCCGTTTCATTAACTGCGGCTGCGGCAGTCCGAGCGAGGAGATGGCATCTGTATCACACCCATGATATTCGAGCCGGGAGTTTTATTTACCCCTGATGATGCCCGAGACGCAGTCCCTAGGCAGTGCTCACGGAAAACATCCTATCAAACTTCGCGTCTTGCCAAATTTCAACAAATTACTATTTTCTGAACTACACACGGAGAAAAAAAACCTCGTGCGTGGGACCCGAAGTTTAGGTCGTATGGATCTCTGAAGTTTTCAGATTGAGCATCTGAACACTTTAGGTCAAGCTGTCGAGGTTCGGATCACACATCTTAAGTACTTCGGTTTTCACATCCGAAAAACTTCGGTTCTCACATCTGAAGTACTTCAGATGTAAGAACTGAAGTTTCAGATGTGTGATCCCAACCTCAACAGCTAGACCTAAAGTGTTCAGATGCTCAATCTGAAAACTTCTGAGATCCATATGACCTAAACTTCGGGTCCCACGCACGAGGTTTTTTTCTCCGTGTAGAATACTTTTTCAGTGTGTCAGTCATAAAGCATGTATCGCCAGGCGTGTGAGTTAATCACGACCGCGAGACCGCGCGGACCAAATTGTGGCCAAAGTGACCAAGTGTTCAAACGGCAAGGGTATGTTTTTACTTCAGATTTGGATTCTACGCAAAAAATTACGTTAAATTGACATGGCGTATGGCGTATTTGCCCAAATTGTTTTTTGCCCCTCTTTCCTCCAAAAATACACGGCTTCTAATGAGGAAAGGGGGGTTCTAAAGTAATTTGAGAAAATAGGCCATGCGCCATATCCATTTTACCTAACTCTTCGCGTAAAATCCAAATCTAAAGTCAATACATACCCATGCCATTGACATTTTCGACTTACGGCCCTCCAAAGCCCCAAAATTGTCGGAGGGTCGTGGCCATCATAATTTTGGACCAACAAGGATCATGTGGTACATTAATTAAAAGGTCCCCTTCCCCCCCCCCTCTTCCCCTCGGACAATTTTAGATTTAGAAAAGCGTATAATTTTAACGCCTACAATGTCGAATTGAAATTTGCCCCAAAATGCCCTGTAACTCCGAAAAATGGGGATTTAGGGAAGAAGAGTGCACGGAACAGAAAGTTCTTAATTTTTTCCCTAGAATTTCAATCCGAAGTCAAATCATATACCCTTCCCACTTGAAATATGCGAGAAACAGGGGGCATTCCTCCAAATCCGTCAAAATGAAGTTTTGGGGGGCTGAAAATATTTTCATTGACAATGTGCTCCTTAGGGTTGATTTATTCCCGAGAGTTTTCGTCCCGAAGCTCAATTTTTGGCTGTTTATTAGATACGTATAGTGGGTCATCTGGAACACCCGATATATTAAGTATTTTTAAAAGAAAAGAAGTCGCGCGATTTTGAAAACGTCGTAATCGCGCTGGTTCCTGTTGCTAAATGCTATCCAGTTAATATCCAATAAGAGCAATGAAGATTTGTGTAGTTTCGCAAGCGGGAGATTTGAATTCACTCTCTAGAATGTGAAGCAATTTCTCTCTCATCAGTTGATTCTGAACTTTTTCGTCAAAGCTCTGAAAATCGAGAGCGGAGAGCGGGCGGCATGGTTTGGCCGGCGAGGCGCGATGTTGCCCGACAAATGGGCTCCTCCTCGTCCGTTCGATCTGCTCGATGTCAAAGCGGGCCGACTCAGATTTATAAAGGCCTCTATAGACGATCAAATTCCCGAACCAATTCCGATCAAAGTAGCATCAAAGTGTCGGGAGTCATCAGTCTGAAATTCATAAATTTGCTTAATTTTAAAATGAAAACTTGACAGAAACGTTTCCTGTGGCAGGAAATGATGAATGATGGCACTCCTGTCTGATCTCACTTTGATCAAAAAAGTGCGGCCCGTCAAAATTTGATGGTAGATGGTGACCACCAGTCATCAGCATGTCTACTTTGATCGGAATTGGTTCGGAATTTGATCGTCTATAAAGGCCTTAAGAGCTCGCCGGAATGTCCACTCCATTTCGCCGCCGCTTCCATCGATTCCCCCGGTTTGTTCTGATTGTCGCCTTTACTCCTTCCCGCTCCGTGAAATAAGTCCCGTTTATTAAATTATGGACGGGCCTTTTCCTTGATGCTGTAACTTGAGTTATGTGTCTGCCTCCCCGGGTTTCACCCTTGCCAGCTAGTGCTTCAAAACCAGCATTTTCCTCAATTAAACCTCGAGTAACACATGACGAGAGTGTGGACATGTCGATATATGGAGCTCTTAGGGCCCAAATGGGCAGCCAACCCTCTGCTATCGCAAAAAACACTAGGAAAATGCCTCTGACAATCTTCAGGTCCCAATATTAAACAGGATCGCCGCGGTCAGGGAATTTTAAAAAGTCAGCGAAAACCTTGACATGTCAGGGAAAATGACGGAAGCGTCAAGGAAAAATTGGTAGGTAACCCTTGTTTGCTTTCCAGGATGGGTTTGACAATTTGAACAACAGATCTTGCGTGGAAACTATTTCAAATTACGCATTTTAAATCATCTGGCATACCCATAATTGTCAGTGAATTTTATCAAAATGTGTTATGGAAACGAGAAGGATGTCAGGGAATTTCATTTCCTAAATTCTGTGGCGACCCTAATTGATTAAACAGAGACGACCAAGAATGTCGATAATTGAGCGTCTCTCTGCGAAATTGAGAAAATTTATGCAAAAACTAGGTCAAATACGTCTTCCCAAACAACGATCCTAACAAATATAATAATAATTCCTTCTGAACACTTTAGTTTCCCAAGTTGGCTGCCTTTTTGGGCTCCAAGAGCTCCATGACAAAGCCTGCAAAATTACCGACTTGTCCATTTACTCTCCCTAAATAGGTACTCGCTTTTAACTCATGTGAAGTATCCAAATGTTATCGCACAACTTGGCAGCCTTGCCGGTTTTTCTGCTCCTCGCCGTTTTTCTTTTCCAGGCTATCCCTTCACCTTTCATAGCGCCAATAAGGAAGGGGGAATACAAATGTACTCCGCAGCCGTTTTTTTGCGATCGACCGGGGAAAAGTGATAAATTGCAGAAGATTTTACTCGACCGTTCATCCGGTTTTTTTTCTTCCTTTTTTTCCAAAACCAAAAAAAGACAAAGAAAATTAGCGAGATATAACAGCAAATTCTCACAAAGCGCACTCCATCTGTAGATGGTTACTTTCTGCTAAATGACGTCGATTGTAATGTGAAGTAAGATCTCTGCCCTAAATGGTGTTTAGGGGCCCAACACTATCAAACCTTTGGGGGGGATGGAGGGGGGGATTCAACCCCCTCTAGGCTCAGTGTAGACAATAATGGGCTCCTCGTCTCTGATTGCATTTGCTTTACGGGGTAGCTATCGCTCCTTAAAATATTTTGGCAGTAATGTGGGTCAACATCTACTCAATACTTCCCAATGTATTCGCTCACTATTGAGGCAGAATTGAGGCAGCGCTAAAAAGATAAAATCATCAATCAAGACTCAATTTAATCAATACTATTCTTGTATTTTTTTTGTATTTAATGATCGTATAGTCAATACTACTACGAATATTCTCACTGCATTGTTTCACTACTTTTATAATATTATTACGTGTTTTTATTATACCCATTTTACTCTCGAATATATTTTGCCCTGCATTTAATAGAAATTCTCTTTTAATTGTCGTTTTTTTTCAAAAAGGCTTTTAAGTAATCCCATTTATAGGATAATTTTACACGTTACACGTTAACCAAAAGATACACCTTAACGATACGTTACACCAAAAGGTATTCTTGAGATCGGTTAGTGTTAACCAGAATCAGTTTGAATGGACTTCATTTTGCAATTTGGAACTATAATGTATGTCTCGTCCGTAAAACTACTCGCCTTCAACTAGAATTAGTCTGGCTACATTTTAGGCAACCTAATTTCTTTATTTTTTCATCTTTTAAACAAAAACTACGCAACCTACTACCTTGAAACATTTTGAGAATTCCTTCCGAAAAAATGGAAAAAAAAATACTATCGCTGGAAAGGTTTGCAGCATCCTAACAATACTGGCAAATCGCTCCTTCGTATAACTGGGGGTGAAGTGAGGTTGTAGGTAGCCCTCGGACCCCTAGATGACTGGTTGTAATGGTTTTGGTTTGTGTTTCAGGCGGGTCGCGTCGTAGGCCTAATCGGGATGGCCAGCGTGAAGCGTGGAGTGATGAGTGTGTGGACACGGCGTGAAAGTGCGTGAGTATCCCCATGGAGACGCCGCCACCGTCGACGGTGGGACGTCGCTCCAGTCGTCGTGGGAGCGGCAGCGATGACGTCACCATCGGGACGAGACATCGCAGACAGCAACAACCTGCCCATCATAATCGTGAGTATGCTCATTAAGATGATCTTCCTTCTTTTAACTCGAAAATATGTTTTACCTCAAACTAACCTCCTGTTCCTTAATCAGTGGTGTAGCCAGAAAGTGTTCATGGTGTCCGTCTACTCTGTCGTGCTAAGGAAAAACGCCGCATGAACCCTCAGGCGTTGCCAAATTTCCTTTGATAGTACTCGAATTTCTTAGTTAACTTATGAATATTTTCCTTCCAATTTTTCAGATAATTTTTTCGCAATTTTACCTAAAGTCCCTGAAAATTTCAAGGAAAAATAATCATATCTTTCCTCAAAAATAAACATTTTATTGAAGGAAATTTGGCAACTCTCGAATGTTCATATGGCGTTTTTCCATAGCACGGGAGTACTGGTGTCAAATTTCGTGAAAAGACGAAAAAATGACGATTCTTGTGACGGTTTAGGCAGTTCCAGACCCCCTGGACCCTCACTCTTGCAACGCCTTTGAACCCACTTGCATGCCTCAATTGTATTAATAGTACATTAGGCTCTTTTTCAAGCGCACATACAAAAGTATTTACATCTGCCCGGTGGCGGACCTAAGGTGCCAGCACCTTTATACATGCGTAGGGAGAGTATGGATACCGGGTCAAATAGAGACCCTTAGGAACCGGAATATAAGGTGGCGCGTCTAGGGTAATGCTCCCTAAAACCCCACTAACTACGGTGTAAAGCACATGGGTCCTCCTGAGGAATGGAACTGTTATGCTATCACAGGAAGAGCTCTTAAGAGCTAACCATAACATTATTTTGACCCAGGTTCAGTCCCAGCTCTCCGAGTTACCATCAACGCGCTCTGACGGTCAATTCGCCTTCACTCGAGTAAATAGGCAAAGGCGGGTACACCAAAGCAGTAATAGTCGTATCCACACTTTGAACCTAACTGAATCCATATGTTTTGTGCAAGTAGGTATACCGTATTTTCATTGTGAGGAATGCGAGCATTTGTCATTTTGGCGTTTTTGTCCTATCAACGAAGAACACGTCAACCTGAAATTTTCATTTTAAAATTATCTCGCATTTCAGTGTATTTTAAGGTTACAATTAACTTAAGTAGCGTATAGTAAGAGCCTCTTTACTCCTTTTACCGCTAGAGTTTTTGAACGGACAAACAGTCTGTAGTAGGCTTCGAATATGCGTGTAATAATTTTCAGGATCTTGTGCATGATACTTTTTAGGAGAATATTCTTGTTCGGCCAAGTTCCATTCCGTCGGTCGAAACTGTGAAATTTGATTAAACGGTCGCCACAGCAACCCGTCTCAACCTCCATTCCTTTTTTACGGAATAATTAAATAGTTGACGGCGCAAGTTCTTTAATTTAATTCTCGGAAGAGCTCTCTTTGCGTTACTTCGTTTCGTAGCGTGGGCTTCAAACACAAATCAGTAACTCGTTTTAACATGTGCCTTCTCTTTTTTGTCCACTCGTTTTGCTCGGCCGAGGGGATCTCTGAACTTCTGAACCCCTTTTTGCAGGGTCGGTACTTCCTAAATTAGTTAATCCCCCAGTCAGACGGCTCTGTTGACTCGAATTCTCCGTCTCGGAGCGTTTTATCTTTCTCCCTGAATGTTCCCTTGTCTTCGAGAGCCGCAGGAAGAACAGTCAGGGAATTTCATAAAGTCAGGGAAAAATTGTGAAGTTACCTTAATTAACTTTTTAGGATAGATTTGACGTTTAGTACAACACATTTTCTTAGAAACTATTTCAAATTATGTCTTTTTTGCCGTATTGCATGTTTCATTCCTCCCGCAAAATGTTCTCACGCTCGTTTTCCGCTAAGTTCTTGTAAAAAAACGGTTCAATCAAAAGTCACACGTCGAAAGTTGGGACTTTTTTTTTACGTCAATCGTTTAGTTGACCGCACTGGAAAAAAAACACGTTGGATCCATAGTCCAGACTCTTGAAAACATCGACAAGAAAAAATACTCTTGATTCAATCGGATTTTTGCTTAAATCAAGAACCAAGCCTCTTAATTTGAGCGGATTTTCTTTTGATTTAAGCTTGAATCTGATTGAATCAAGAATATTTTTTCTTGTCAATGTTTTCAAGAGTCTGGACTCTAGATCCAATGTTTTTTTTCTCTCTCTCTCTCTCTCTCTCTCTCTCTCTCTCTCTTTTTTCCAGTGTGTGCAATCGTCGAGGGTCAGGCGAAAATATCGAGTTGCAGCGTTGGCGAACTCGCCGCGGTTTCACTCCATTGTTAATTTTTCCGTTATGACTTCAATATTGCCCCGGCTAATTGCCCTTCTGCGCGGCGATTAAATCTGTAAATCATCCCCCCGGATTCCCGCTGAGACGTTTCCCATGCAGCCGAGGAGAAATAATTTAGCTCCTTATGAATATTTAGGTGGGTATGCAACCAACGGCGCTTTTGTGTCGCGTAATGACCCAGATAAAAACTCCATCCTCGCACGCTGAAGCACGGTCGCCAACACGTTTTATCAGCAGGCGAGATTCAAAGAATACACTCCTCTAACTGCGCAGATAAGCGTGCGGTATTCGCTCTCCGAGTGTCGGGAGTTGCGTTATGGAGACCCGAAGCTGTTCTGTCATTTTCATGCGGAGGATGAACGACGTATGAAGCTTCGAATGTTGCCAAAACCCCTCGGTGAAATCTTCATCATTCGGAAGAAGTTATGAATATTCAGGGTGTCCACAAGTCCGGAATTTTCGGAAAGTCCGAAAATAGTACTGCTTTTTTAAGGGCGGTCCGGAAGTTCTGAAAAAGTGCAGAAATGAATTCAATCATTAAATCATTTAATCATTTCAATTCATTTCATTTTTCATTTCATTTTTGTCGCAATTTGAGCGAAAAATTCAAATTTTTCGAATTTTGTCAATTGGAGGTACTGACAAAGTACTGAATTTCACCGCTGAGGAGGTATTGAATTTCTCGGGAATGTACTGAAAAAGTACCGTAAAAGTACTGATTTTTGGCCAGCCTGTGTTTTAGTAGACACCCTGCTCAGTTTTCCTTAAAAGGTTTGAACACGCAAAATTACATTGAGAATAAAACTCTCCAAAAAATTACGAACGGAACATTTCACTAGTTTCCTAGATAACTCGTTCATCGGGAAAAATTTGACAACATTTCGAGTTTTCACACAGCGTTTTTCCTTAGTAGGGTGTGTTCGCCTCTCGTTTCGTTTCATACGTTTGAAATGTTACACGATCATCATTTTAAAGAATGTTGTGTCTATGTCTCTGCACGTAGTTTTTTTTTAAACATTGAATTTTTAGAAAGCTTTGCGCTGCAGTTTCGCCAGGAAAATATCCAACGTTTTGGTTTCTCTGGTGGAAAGTAACAACTTTTTGAATTTTTCAATTCATAAATTTGAACGCTGAATAGTCATGATACGCCGTTGCAAGTCTTGAATATCAGCATCAGTTTAATCTGTCATATCATCGCTAATTAAGTAGTCGGATTTTAGCGGTCTGACATGGCAAATTGTTTTGATACTGAAGCTGTGGATAAATTCAAAATGGTCGCCTATGAGACACGTGTAAAATTGTGTGTTATTGATCCGTGAATGTGGTTGGATCTTCGAAGAGTCAAAAATTAAAATGCTCGAGGAATGATTCTCGTGGTGTTTGGTAACGCTCTCTATTTTATCGAAGTCGTCTTGTTCTCTTTTCTGCAATTGCGCATCTTTTTCATTACCGCATGAACAAAAAATCAACTCAAAATGCGTGTCTGATCCCTCCGTCTGGGAACTGTTGGAATTTATTATTCAAGCTGGTAATATCGATTGACTGATTAACCGTCTCATTCAGTCGTTCATCCCGAGTTCGCAGAGCAGCAGGATCTCCCTTCATTTTCGGCCCTATTCAAGTTGGAACAATGTGTTCTAACTACCCACTCCGACCGTTGCAAGAAGCCATCCCACTCTACAAGTGTCCTCTCTTTCTAAGTCTCCTCAGCTCAAAAGTTACTCTCTCTAGTTGAACCTCCGACAGGGTTGACAAGGAATGTAAACATATTAAAGGCAATTTGGAATGTATCGCTGAATTATCTACGTAACTTAATACAATTGCGATGCTTTACATTTCGAAACTCCTCGGGTAAAAAACTGCGTCGCTTTTTCCCGACCGCGACTAGTCTGTCGTCTTGAGCGTGCAATTCCGTCGCTCCGCCGACGCGACGAGATACGAGGACGTCCTGACGTTCTCACTCCATTCTAGCTCCAACCCTGGAGAACAAGGGGCCATACGGTCAATAGGGCTCACTTTATTATGAAGTTATACCCTTTTCTCGGAAGAGCCACTCCAGAGCTACCGTGTAAGAACGCCTATGAGCATTTGAATGTTGCCAAATTGGCTTTTAGATTATATTTATTCTTGCAGAACGTTATAACAATTTTTTATAACATTGTCAGACTTTTTAGATCAATTTCGGAACCAAATCCTCCCTGTTCTAATAAATCATTTTAAGACGTTCGATGGACGGGGTGAGGAAGGGAAGTAAGACGGTCGATGGACAGGAAAGAGGAAAGGGAGTTCAACAGTCAGAGTTTTAATAGAGTGGGTCTTTACTTCCAGAGACCTTTGTTTTGTTATGGACAGCCATACGCGGTCCTGTCAAGGTCGATTTCCAAAAAAATGAATCAAAATTCAGAGTTAGGAGAAAGTCATTGAGAATATTTTTTGGCGGGAAATTTTTCTTTGAAACATCGTTTTCTCATTCAATCAAAATTATTTGCTCATTAACAAACGGGCAATTTCGACGAATTCGCTGGCTGCGAAGCGGCCAGGGGCCGAGCCCCCTAGTTCCCTAAAAAATTGGTAGGAAAATGAACATAGATTTTGTAGAGGATTCGTGATTTGTCGGAATAGATCTGGCAACTTCTGAAGGGCGATACGGCGTTCTTGCGTAGCACGGCAGAGGGATCTGCATGGTGAATGCCGATAATCACTGACGCGGAGACGAGGTTTCTTGGAGCGCGAGCTCTTGATTTTTTTAATGACCGTTCCAAA